CAGTGTACGTTCACATCCCTCTAAGGGTATCTCCAATTTGGTTACTTACGTAGTTAGGTTGTTAAGCTACTTGAGAACATCATTGGAGAAAATGAGCTGTTATAAATTTCGTAGAAGTTCTCATATCATACGTACCGCTAAGGTTTCTTAAAATTTAAAATCTATTTTCTAAACTTTTGTGAGTCATGTTAAAAAGAAGTTTATAGAATTCACGTTAGGTTTTACTTTTAACGTAAGAGTTAGCGAGTATTACTAAATGTTGAGCATGAAATCATCAGAAATGTCCCAAAAAACATTGTAAAGCGATAAACTATACCCATAACATCAGAAATGCAAGTCGTGTGCAACATGACTGAAAAGGAGTAAATCACCATCGTGTTTTTACCCATCTGAACAGCAGAAGTTTTCAAAATTTCCTTTCTTCTTTCGCTATATTGTCATTAACTTTCTCTGAAGCTCGTTCTGATCTTATTTTTGCCATCTATAACCTTGACTTCATGAACCACAACTAATCTATTTAATATGTTCAGAAGAGTTTGAAATGCAAATATTGCCTTTTCCTTGCTGTATAGACCAAATATATATCTACACAAAATTTACAGGATTGGTATGGTAACCTTAGATTTGTGCAAATCATCCGCTAAATATTTTTAAGACATAGCTGTACAGATTTGTTACAGACATAACAACTAGTGGGCTAATTACAGTAATTATGGAAATCACTGAATCAATCATAGTAAAAATGGAAAATCCCATAGGATCTCAATGATATGATGCAAAAAGATTGGCACTGATAAACCATTAAATCTGATGTTGTTTGTTCTTATGACCTATACAGAGAACTTTCAAAGTTTGGCATTAAACCGGGCGATTGAAATTTTTTAAAATTGAGATAAAATCATTGCACGCCAATCCGTGGATTCATATTCCATGTCAATTAAACATTTAACATTTAATTGTATACTAATTAATCGTTGCGCTGCGGTGGTTGATGAGGTCCAATACTCCCTTTCATCCATGGAAAATTGAGCTAAAAATTAGGAAACGAATCTATATGTCACTCCAAAGTTTAAAAACAGAAGAAGACAATTGATTACTATTACCCATAGCGTAACAGCAGGAAAAAAAGTAAGAAATACTGCTTATTTATGCCTCTGCTACACAGATCCCCACCCTTACTCCTGCTTTCTATTTCATGAAACTCACCCCAAGGTTACAATGCATCAAACCAGAGGAAATATCATTCTTTCTTTCATCAGCTATTTTCTGGAAAGCCTAAAAGTTTAGTCAAATGTTTCATCATCGTCATCTGGAAGAGGTTGAGCAGCCGCCTTTGCTAACTCTTCTTCATTCCTGTATTGTATATAAGATTGAATCAACCAAAGAAAAAATTAACTAGAGTGAGGCCCAACTGCCTAATGTGAATAAATCATTCATATAAAAATTAAGTTTTCTTACATTTGTTGTGTAATTAGATCGATGACTACGTCTGGAGGAGCAAGAGCAGGCATCTCCACAAAATGAAGGCCAGCATCCCTGGAATCACAAGCCAATAATTTCGTGAGATTGACCAATTAACAATAAAATAACAACAATGAAGCATTCTGTTACGTACCCTGCAAGTTTCTTGGCGAGGTATAAAAAGGGCTTTTCGAAATTGTAGTTACTCTTTGCAGATATCTCATAGTACTGAAGATTCTTCTTCCTGTGAAATGTAACCTGCTTTGCTTTAACCTGTCTATTCTTCACATCGACCTTGTTTCCGCAGAGAACAATGGGTATGTTCTCACACACCCTATGTACGATGAACAAGAAAGAGTGACATACTCAACATAGAAACACAGCGCAACGCCAAATCTATTTGTGAAAAATATACTCAACTCACCGACAGAGATCTCTGTGCCATGTAGGAACATTCTTATACGTCAAGCGAGCCGTTACATCGAACATAATGATAGCACACTGGCCATGAATACTGCACATAATTTGGAGGTTTTCATTTGGACATCAGAACAATCTTCCAATAAATTTGTAAACAAAATGTAGGAATGTTCTGTTAGCAATGAAGCCAAATAACTTAGCAGCTATTGGACAGGGTTAGAACTTAGAACACGCCGAAGGTTACATGCTAGGAAACAAGGTGAACAAAATAAAAGAACACAATTCGGAATCGACTAATAACATCAGAAACCCTCAACACAACTACATAAACCAGTCATACAATTTTCTACTATTCCATTTTCCTCTGTTCTTGACTGATATTCAAGGCTTATTTCATCTTCACATTTCCCGTACATGAGTTAAGAATATATATGTTATTAGCGATACTATTTCCTGCTATGGATATCCATACTATTACTTTGAACATGCTGGCCTAGAACAATATTAAAAGTACTAGTTGGTTAAAGTTAGAAGGTAACGTTATAATAAATACAAGAAGATGTTAAAACAAATATGAATCATGCAATTAATAATTACGAATTGAAATTGGATGTAAACAAATCAGGATTGAGAGAAAAGAAGCGCATCCCATGGAGCGTTGTTTAAACTTACTAGTAACCATCTCTGAGACCACCAAATTTTTCTTGGCCAGCAGTGTCCCAGCAGTAAAAGCGAATTCTTCCACAATTGGTGTGAAAGTCTAGTGGATGAACCTCCACGCCAATGGTTGCTATTGTAAAATAAAATAAATACCCATAAAAGAAATGTTAGGCATGGCAAGAAGTAAAAGAAGAGACGCAAAAGGAAAAGAGTTGTTATACGTTCGTATTTCTTCTCAAACTCCCCAGTTATGTGTCTCTTGACAAAAGTGGTTTTCCCTGCAGAAGCACCCATGTATGATAAGTTTCATTTGAAAAGGCAATTTATATAGAAAAAGAAGTGATTGATGAGATGGCAGAGAGGGAAATATGACCAGTTCCTCCATCGCCTACGATGACGAGCTTGAAACTGGGATAATCAACAGGTTGATGCTGTGGCAAAGCCTGTGTATATATAGGAGAGAAAAGTAAGAAGGTTAAAGATATATAGAAGGTGCGAAGGAAGACGAAGATGAAAATGAAGCATGCAAAGTCTCCATACCATGATGAATGAATAACGTTAGAAAAGGAGAGGATGATGTGTGTGAGGATGGAGTTAGGAGGGGAAGGTTGATGCTTATAAAGTTTGCCATGGGAGGGCTGTGGACTTGAAAATCACGCACAATTGGCTTCAATCTTACGCCATACCATGCCATTCAGTTCTTCTGGAGAAAGCACCAACTGCATCGCGGCTTAAGATTTACGCGCTCCTTTGCTTTTTCAAACTCTTTCTTACTTTATTCACGCCTCTTCCATTACATTATAAACCTAAATAACCATAATTAAATCTTAATTATATTATAAATTCATGTATTTTCAAATCTACTTTTATTATAAAAAAAATCAATGCTAAAAATATATTTCTTTTATTTATATCTAAGTATTGATCAACACCTTTTTGGAGAAGGAAAACTTCACTTGACTAATGAATAAAAGATAATTAAAGAGAAAATTCGATAATATATATATATATATATATATATATATATATAGTTATTAGTAAAAATAATAGTAATTTATTAAAGAATTATTTATAATTTAATTTCATATACTTATATTTTTTATTTAAACTAATGAAGATTTTAAAAATATCCATTTTTAAAAATTAATATTTTGTAATGCAACTCAACTAAATCTATTTTCTTTTAAAGCTAAATTTATTTGGATTAATATTTTATTATGCTGTTTATTTAAATTTTAATTTAACATTAGTTATCTAATTTTATATTTCAAAAGATTTTATTTAAAATAAAAATAAAAATAAAATTTATTTTTGGATACGGTAAGTTTTTTTTTTAAATACCTACTTAAACTCATTTTGACACCTTATTAGCATGCTAAAAAGGTTAACTTATTCCCTTCCAAAATCATATTACTTCTTACTAAAAAAATTATAAATATTTATAAAACAAAAGTAAAATATTTAAAGATCTCAATTATAATCGTATAGAATATTTTAATTTTAACTTTAAAATATGAAAATTTTGTGTTTTATAATATTTGGATTATTTTTTATGATATTTAATTGTTTTTACTAAATTAAACAATATATATATATATATATATATATATATATACACTTTGGTCGGACACCCCGTCTCTCTCTCTCTCTCAAAATTACTCAACTTGAAAATTCCTCCAGGATGGTTTAGTTAATGTCCTTACTCAAGCATCTTAATAAGATTCACATTCTATAGGAATAGAATAATCCAAAAATACTCAATGATTTCCTAAACTGAATAATTTTATTATTCTAACATATAAATTTGACATTTAGGTATCAGCTAGTCAAAATAACGTTCCAGAAAAACTTATCAAATATGTATTCTTTTATGTTATACTTACCTCTATCATTTCTCACTTTTTTTAATATCAAATTTATATTATACATGTTATTTATTCTTTTGCACAATTAATTTGATTATAATTAATAATATTAACAATTAATTATTTGTTTGATTCTCACTTGGTGGAACATTCAAATTAGTGTTCACTTTAAAAAAAAATTCAATTGCATTATAACTTCTGAAACAAAATTTTAATTAGGTCCTAATTTAAAAAAATACCTTAATTAAATCTTTTTAAATAAAAAATATTAACGACATTAATTATATGTTATGTGTCAATGAGTTTTTAATTTTTTTAACTTTTTACTTTTTAGAAAAACTTGTTGTCACATTTTAATCACCAGTATAATAAGTGGTATTGTAAATGTCATGTGACAAAGATTGTGTAATGTGTTAATATTAATGTCAAATATTATTTCTAATTTTAATTTAGTTTTCATATATATTTTTTAATTCAATTAGTCCTAATTTTTCTATATATAATTTAAAATTCTAGTTATAATTATAATATATCACTGAAATCACCTAATTATTTGCAGCTAAGTTTTACCAATGGAAAGAATAAAACTATGGTGATGGATTAGGTTATGTTATATGACTTTGTTTTGAACTTAGAAAATTTGTTTTCGCGGTGGCCTCTGATCAAACGACCCACATTCCAATTTCCAATCCCTCGATTCCGCCATGGCCACGCCCTCAGATCCTTCAAACCAGTAAGCCTCTGCCCCTTTCACTCTCATGTTCTCATATTAATTTTTACTTTCAACTTCATCTCCTCAATTCTCTTTTCACCTTTTCCTAACCTCCACAGAGAAGCTGTTTTGAGAAGGAAGAACAACGGACCCCCAATTAAGTTCCTCATTCCTCTCATATATGCCCCTATACTCCCTCTAAGTATGTTTACATCCCCTTAATCCCCCTCTCTTTCAAACACTTTCTTTATTCGTTTTTTTCTTATCGGGCTTATTTTTATTTCTTTTTTCTTTTTTCAGTTCGACTAACGCTGCGGCACAAACCCGTCCTGAGAGATCGCTTGTTTACAGCTGTGTTGGCTGGAGGTTTTGCTCATGGTTTCTATTTGATGTATCCTTTTCTTGATCTTCGTGGTGCTGCTACGATGGTATTATTGTGTATACTTTAATGTTTTCATTACTTTTAATCTTACCATATCCATCGTGGCTTTTGTGTGATTTAATTTGGGTCGTTCATGCTAGGAAATGTCAGTAAGAGCTGAGAAACTGATGGTCGGAGTTTGATGTGTTGGATTGCAAAATGATTCTGAATATTTGAACATGGTTATGGGGTGTGCTGTATTTTTAGATGATATGCGTTCTAGGGTTTTAATGTGGCTTCTTTTTTTAAAATAATTAACTGAAGTTATTATTTCTTTTCCGAGAGTGCTAGAGATTGTATTGGTCGAGTCATTATGATAGCAAAGGCTTCTAACGAATTATGGCGAATTTGGATGAACAGTTTAATTATGTATCTATTCAATAAGAGCTTATGAAGAGCTTCTTTTGATTAAGCTTCATCTGGAAACTTTTCAAAATGAGCTAAAATGGTCTTACATGATGATCTTATGGAGTCATAGGTCACTTTCACAAGACCGAATAAGCTCTGTATAAACTCTTCTAAAGACTCCCTTGGTATCTCTTGTAGGTATAATTAACTTTCAGCTTTATTAGTTCGTGTGAGAAAACTGGGAAGGGAGAAATAACATTATACGGCTACTCCATTTTATTTGGTTATGGTATCAACACTAGTGAAGTTTTGAGACACCAAAAAGAAAAGGTGTCTTTTTCCATAATATTTTTGAGAGGCTTGAGTTTTGGGTGTGAGGAATTCTTCTGATGTTGGATTCATCCCATTGATCAAAGTACAATCTAAGATCAAATTTGGTTGGCAAAGAGAAACATAGTCAAATGCATTTGAGTAGATGCAACTGATGTCTCGTGATGCCTGATTTTAATTATTTTTTAGGCTGTTTTCAACATTTTTTATTTTAATATTTTATTTGGTGATAGTAGTAGAAAGCTTAACATTGGTTGGTGTTATAGATACGGATTATGTGTTCTAGCGAACTAGCCTGTAAGGGCACTCCCAGATAAGAGGCAAATAAGATACTAGTTTGGCATTTTTACATTGAAGTGTCTCATGATGCCTGATTTTAATTATTTTTTAGGCTGTTTCCAACATTTTTTATTTTAATATTTTATTTGGTGATAGTAGTAGAAAGCTTAACGTTGGTTGGTGTTATAGATGCGGATTATGTGTTCTGGCGAACTAGCCTGTCTGTATTGTAAGGGCATTCCCAGATAAAAGGAAAATAAGATGCTAGTTTGGCATTTTTATATTGAAGTTCAGGATCAGTTTATGAATGTAAAATTTTGTTGTTAGATCCACAAACAAACCTTTATGAAATTATGACAGTAAATTGGACATGTGTAAGCCAGAGAAATACATAGATGTTAGCTCTTTGTCAAGTTTAGAGCTTAAAAGATTTTATATCTTAGAGTATAATAACTACTAAATAGCAATATGTTTGGGCGGAAGACTTTTTGTTCTCCGCATACGTGTTTTACCAAAGTCCCAAGCTTTAATATTTTGTTAGTTGTATAACTATTGGATTCCTTAGTAATTACACTTAATTGGTGTTGTGAGAAACATCCTCCCTTAATTTTTACATTTTCCTTTTGTTTGTAACTGTGCCGAATGGTGTTGTGTGATACATAATGATATAAACCTACTTTGTTGTTGTCTTATCTTGTTTCTCCCTAATGGATATATCCAGAACAGACCTTTATGATAAAGAGAGCAAGTGATTATGCAGAGCATGTTTCAGACATTTCATAAGCATCATTTACACCACAACCTCGTGTCCTCAATAAATTTTTTTGACCACTATTTGCGGCTCAACATCCTGGTAACACCTTAAGTTGGTTAGGCCAATTTTCAACATGTGTCATTAGTTTAGAATATTGTTATGCTATGTTCGCTTTAAAAAATGCATCTTGTCTTGCGGATTTTACTTTCTGTAGAATAAATATGGAATTTTGGAGACCTTTCTTTGATCTTCTAGTGTTGTGAATGAAGCAAACTTATTTCATTTGTCTCTTTTGATATCAATGCTATTTCTTGTCAGCTAGATGTTGATTTGGGGATAATAAAATGGCATAAGTGAATTTTTAGGATCATTATGGATAACATTTATCACCGTGAATTCCGTTCATATTTCCTGTAGTTGTAGTTGGATTGGATCTGATTTATTCCTCCAATGAAAAAAAAATGCTGGATTAGATGTCTTGTGTCATCATTTTACATGAAGAGATGGGTAGGCTAGTTAATGTTCGGATTTAAGTTTGGTTTGTGCTTCATTTAAGTGGCACCATGTCTGTCACTGCTGTGCCAATTTGACAAACCACAGTAAACCAGTGTCTATTGTGAATATATATGATCGCCTGGTGTTTCTGTCAAGTTGGTTAACTGCACCGATTCCCCCCTTCCATTTTCAATGGAACAGATGAGTTACTCGTTGGTTAAACAACACACTGATTGAACTCAAGCTATGTTTGGATTGAGATATTAGAAATAAGGGATAAGTTGGATTTAGTTTTTTATTTTCAAGTGACTTAAGATATTATTTTTTCATCACTACATTTAAGTTATAAAGTGTAAAGTCAAGGCTATATTCGATTTGATTGATAGTTTTAAAACTATACAAAATTAAATACAAGCTAAACAGATAGATTTTCTGAATTCAAGTTTATAATAAAGGTAGGAGACAATTGAGGGTGAGGATGTGATGATAGTAGACTTGTCGTGATGGAGTTGATGTGGTTGTGGTAATAGTAACGACTGATATAATGACAGTGGTGATAAGAATAATAATGTGTTAACCACGGAAATGACTGGTTGATTACTGTTGTGAACTTGAGTGACAATGTTAAGGGGGTGGCAATGGTGTTGAAAGACTGATGAGGTTGGAGTAGTGGGCTTGATGGTGCTCATTGGCCAGTTATGGAGTCGTGTTTATAGTTGTGACGACATTTAATTTGTGTTTCTGTATGATTATTTAGGACTGAGATACGAACCCTCTTGATGATGCTTTACTACTTCTGAACATCTGGGATAATTGCTCTTCCTCCAATGATATCAGTTGCTCACCTTCCTGTAACTTGTTCGCACTCCTCTCACTGGTGTAATGCGTCCTCCTCAATGGAAGTGAGTGGGGTACCTGCGAAGATACTCTGATGCTAAAGTCAGATATGAGTTATGGAACCTCAGTTCTCAAACAAGCGATCTTTTTAGTCTTAGAGCAAAACATACCTTTTTTCCTTGGTCTCTGTTGTATTTAACGTAAAAATGTAAAACAAACTGATTACCTTAAAATTCTGTTAGTTGTTGTGATCCACGTTTTTCTTAAAATCCGGTTAGTTGCTCGTGTAATTCGCGTTATTAACGTCACATATTTTTGACTATTTCTTCTTTTGCTGGACTATTGGTCCAATTACTTAAATGTTGAGCTAATTGGCCCAATATCGTTTAACTGAATTGAGCGTCCGCTGAACCCGGTTTGGTCGGATTGATTGAGTGTCGCTTGACTTTTAACGTGCGCTGACCTGATTATCGTGGTTTGACGAGCGCTTTTACCTTTGGTTGAATTGACGAGCGTTTGATAGAGTTGGCGAGCGTTTCTACAGTGGGTAGAGCGATTAGTTTTGGTTGATAACCGCTCGCTTTGGATATCATATTATACATAATGCCCCCCAAGTTAACCTATTACGATTTGTACGGGTAGGTTGACCATAGGACTTTGAAGTTATGGTCGTCGGGGGAAGTAGTTGTTGCACACCGTTTCATTTTGACGCTTCATTGGCCAAACAATGCTTTAGGTTTTCCCGCTTTGGAGGCAGTTGTAACGTCTCAAAAACAGAGCCGTTAGATTATCTTGATCCTACGGTATACCACGCTTGTATCAGTTTTCCCCTCATTAATACGAAAGGATATTTGAAAAAAGCCTGAGTCATTCAACCGTCACTTATCATTTCTGCGTTAGTTTCTTTTTTCTTTGATTTCCCTCTCCTTCTCTTTCGCACTTATCAGGTAACCATGGATCCTTGCACTGTTTTAGATTGCACTCCAGAGTCGGGGGAAGAAAGGGGGCAAAGTAGCACCGTCGAAGCGTTGGGAGCGTCGTCTGCCGTAAGTCATCGCAAAATCACCACAATACTTAGTGGTGAAAGTGCGTTTTTATACGGTAATGTCGTCACCAAGAATCCGGAAAATCCATCTTCGTCGTCGCCAAGTGTTAGTGGTTACGACTGGGCATCCCGTGATTAAGTGATTTTGCTAGTCTGTTTAAGAGCAATCTGTATTGCAAGATTAGGTAGAGAATAGTTGTATCCTTAGAACTCTAGGTTATAAATCTTGTATAAAGTTGAATGTTGGTCGAGAGAATGAAAGGGTTTTTCACGGGAAAGAGAATTCTGCCGACGATTTCTTTTATATCTACTCTTGTCTGTTTTATGATATGTATGTGAGGTTGCCTCTGAGCGTTTTTCAGATGGATGTGTTGAAAACCCTAAATGTTGCTCCCACGCAGTTACACCCAGACCAACTGATGGTGTGCGAAAGCCTGGATATACCCCAACTGTTTGGGTGTAACTGTGTGGGGGCAACGTTTAGGGTTTTCAACACATCCATCTGAAAAACGCTCAGAGGCAACCTCGCATACCTATCATAAAACAAATAAGAGTAGATATAAAAGAAATCATCGGCAGAGTTCTCTTTCCCATGAAAAACCCTTTCATTCTCCCGACAAGCATTCAACTTTATACAAGATTTATAACCTAGAGTTCTAAGGATACAACTATTCTCTACCCAATCTTGCAATACAAGTTTGCTCTTAAACAGACTAGCGAAATCACTTACATCGCGGGATGCCCAGTCGTAACCACTAACACTCGGCGACGACGAAGATGGATTTTCCGGAATCTTGGTGACGACATTACCGTACAAAAACGCACTTTCACCACTAAGTATTGTGGTGATTTCGCGATGACTTACGGCAAACGACGCTCCCAGCATTGCTACTTTGCCCCCTTTCTTCTCCTGACTCTGGAGTGCAATCTAAAACAGTACAAGGATCCATGGTTACCTGATAAGTGCAAAAGAGAATGAGAGGGAAATCGAAGAAACTGACGCAGAAATGATAAGTGACGGTTGAATGACTCAGACTTTTTTCAAATATCCTTTCGCATTAATGAGGGGAAAACTGACACAAGCGCTGTATACCATAGGATCAAGATAATCTAACGGCTCAGTTTTTGAGACGTTACAACTGCCTCCAAAGTGGGAAAACCTAAAGCATTGTTTGGCCAATGAAACGATGCGCAACAACTACTTCCCTCGACGACCATAACTTCGAAGTCCTATGGTCAACCTACCCGTACAAATCGTAATAGGTTAACTCGGACTTGGGGGACATTATGTATAGTATGATATCCAAAGCGAGCGGTTATCAACCAAGACTGATCGCTCTACCCACTGTAGAAACGCTCGTCAATTCAACCAACGTTAAAAGCGCTCGTCAAACCACGATAATCAGGTCAGCGCACGTTAAAAGTCAAGTGACACTCAATCAAACCGGGTTCAGCGGACGCTCAATTCAGTGAAACGATATTGGGCCAATTAGCTCACATTTAAGTAATTGGACCAATAGTCCAGCAAAAGAGGAAATAGTCAAAAATATCTGACGTTAATAACGCGGATTACGCGGGCAATTAACCGGATGTTAAGAATAACGTGGATCACGGCAACTAACCTAATTTTAAGGTAATCAGTTTGTTTTACATTTTTACGTTAAATACAACAGAGACCAAGGAAAAAAAGGTAGGTTTTGCTCTAAGACTAAAAAGATCACTTGTTTGAGAACTGAGGTTCCATAACTCATATCTGACTTGAGCATCGGAGTATCTTCGCAGGTACCCCACTCACTTCCATTGAGGAGGACGCATTACACCAGTGAGAGGAGTGCGAACAAGTTACAAGAAGGTGAGCAGCTGATATCATTGGAGGAAGAGCAGTTATCCCAGACGTTCAGAAGTAGTAAAGCATCATCAATAGGGTTCGTATCTCGGTCCTAAATAATCATACCCAAACAATTTGTAATAATGATGTTGAGGGTAATTGTTTGTTACATGTCTATATGAGAGATAAGAGCTGAATGATTTATTTTTGTAACTTAAAGCTAAAGTTCGTGTGTGTTTTTGTTAAACAATTAAGGGAAGTATTTTAAAATTGAGCTAAAAACTAATTCAATTTTATTTTGTTTTGAAATTTACATGTAAAAACAAAGGAACTGGAAATTGGTAATTATCTCAAAGATGTTAATTCTTTTGACCCTTCCAGACATCTTCAACCAAAACAAAAGTGGTTACAGTTTTGCTGGCCCTTACTTTTTTTGGGCCTTCCAGTTTTCGACAATTGCTTCATGCACGTTCATGTTTTCTTTCCACACCATTGCTGTGAAAATTTTCAAAACATCGAATTTTTCTTGGATCAGAAGTTTATTTTCTTGGATCAGGAGTGTACAGAGTGAAGCATTTGGACAAAAACATGCACTATAATTAGAATTATGCATGTTCAAAAGGTGCCATGTTGAAGTATGCATGCTAACAATAGTGCCATAGCCAATGCTGCACCTATAAAGAAGAACAAAAATGACAAGAGATATAAATTGCAAAAGGTAAAATGGATATTTGAGAGAAACTGGAGTAGAAAGAAAATAAGGAGGAGTAGAAAGTAAATGTCTCCGCCACTTTGTATGTTTCTGCTTGCACTGCGAACAATGTTCGCGGAAGCAGCCCCTAAAAATTGTGATAATGCATACGAAAAACGATTTCTTTTCTTGTATGAGTCTCTGTCTTAAGTTTTCGTCCCACACTGGTCCTGCTTTTTCTTTTGCCTTTTTTTGACGCTAATACAAGTTGACGTCTTTGACATTTTGCCAGTTTGTGTTTTTCATCATTCGTTTCTTTTGTTTTGTTTTTTTCGTTTCCCCCCCATTTTTTCAGTCAGCATTTTTTTTTTCGGCAACCGCAAATAGAATTGTAAAAAGAACATCTTCTCAAACACCTTCCCCCGCCCTGCAATTTGTTAGATTTCTCAAATTTATCATTGAAATGAATGCTATGAAAGCAAGTGGAAATATTCCTTGAAGATCCCGTTGGCATTTTGCCTCTACAGTAAATCCAAATTAATTTGTTTTATACATCCCACTAACATGAAAATAATATTCTTAGCAGACAGAGACACCCGGAGGCAGTGCCTGAGTATATTCCCTAGACGGATGCTTAAGGCAGCATTTTCTACACCTATTTTTACGTGCACCTTCACTAACTGCGTTGCACCCAAGTACTCAATTAACTAATAATTTATTTCTTATCAACGTTCCTTAACTAGTTACCATTGTCTGCTTAGTCGCTACATCTGAGTCAGATCGGCCCCACCAACAACCATTGTTGATGCCATCACACACTTCCTCCACACTCCACGCAAAAAAAGAAAAAGAGAATACAAATCGATCATACAAATCAAACTGAACTCGCAAAAACAGAATCACCGCAACAAAATCCATGAATCGAATCATACTTCATCGAGTAATAATCAATTATATTCATATTTCATCCTTGTTACATACAACATAGCCGTAGCGATTAGTAGTCTAAAATCTAAACACTAATCATCTTCATCATTTTGCGTCAACGGTTACGTACATTGAAACCCTATAATTTGGCTACATACAATCCGCGTAAAAAAAAGACAGCGAAATGCTAAAGATCGGTGCGGGCTTTGAAGTCTGAGGCTAGTCGAGAAGCGATTGCGGAGTGATACATGGTATCGTGAAAGGACTTCGTGGTCTTCATCCGGAGCTGCTTCGCCTTCTCCTCCGTGAAGCCACCGGCGAATCGCGGTTTAGGCCGTTTCGAATCCGTCGCCGCCGGAACAGCTTCTAGCTCGGCTGGCTGCGTATTCGATTCTTTACTGCTGGAATCAATGTAGTCCGGTTCGGAGGACCAGCCGAATATCGGGGTCAACCAGTTTGCGGAGGAGTTTCTACGGCGATCTGCATCCTTCCTGCGGTGGCCGGAGGTAGCGCAGGCTTGGATTCCGGCGACTCGGATGGGGATCGAAGTGGCGGCCATTTTGAGAGTTTGATATCGGATTTCTGTTTGTAAACAGTTGAGTAACAGTTAGGGTTTGATGGGGTACCGCGAGAGGTATTTATAGCGTCTCCGAAGAAGAAAAGGATAAGATAGAACACGTGGCGTTGGCGGTGGGGTTGTCTCCTTTACACGCTTTTCTAACGAGTTTTATTTAGATAACGGACTCGCGTGTCAGTGACGTGGAACGCGTTTGAATGGGCCTTGGGCCTGGCCTTTTTGTTAAAAGTAGACAAACCCAACCGTTGATGACAATCTCGTTCGCTGTCATTGCCAATTGCCATGCCCTTTCCTCGATTTGTCGTTTTTATGAAAGGAGAATGCATCTTGAACAGCTTCGACCACGAAGATAACGTGGAGCTGAGTTGCTACAGTAACGAAATAACACATGTCTCTGTTTGGAACGTTAATTGACAACTTTTGACTCCATCCATCTCCCTAAGAAAATTATGAATATGCCAAAGCAGAAGCCAGAGCGTGTGAGGTGTGAGAAACCGTATTTTCTTCTTCCGCTTCTGCTTCTATATGACACGTGCAACCTTATCCCTTTGTCTTCACTTCAAAAGCTCCTAACATCTTGGGACACATCAAACACTCTAAATCATCCTTGCTCCTTAGATTTTTTTTTTTATTCATCACCATTTCTGTTCATACATCCCATTAATGAAAATATCTCATCATGTTCTTATGAAAAAGCCTTCTCTCTCCCTCAAGCTCCACCCATCTTGCAGGGAACATGTCCCAACCTTCCAATTTCCATTGTATGCAAGTGAGATTCCATAAATTATTATACACTTCTATGTTATATGCTCAATTCCTGCATAAAAAAAATAACCATATATTTTTACTTTTAAAAAATTACTAATATACATATAAAATTAATCAGGACTATCAATTTCAAATGATAATTTATCCTCATGTGCCATAGTGGGGGCTCAATAATATGGTTATTAGATTATTGTATAAACTAGGGAAGTTCTCATGTTAAAAAGTAAAAAAAAATATAGCTATGTAAATATTCACTTTTAAAAACTATATGTTGTGAGAATAGTTAAGTTTATAGGTAACATCACATTTAATAATATAAAAGTAATAATTTAGCATATAATTATTATATTACAATCATTCATTAAATATGTATAGATAGTCACATAATTAAATTAACAGAGTTTTTTAAAACGATTAATTACAACCAGTCATCAACTTAATCTATGCAACTGCATCATTGATAAGTGTAATTAATACTTATTATTTCTAACATTAAATTTGTATTTATTTGTGTTTACGTGTTTTCCTTACGAAGAGATATGATATTTTTCTATTTAGTTCAAGTTAAATTTATTTGATCTTTTGTGTGAAAATGAAAATTTAAAGAAGATTTGAGTTTGTTGCTATGATCCTTCGATCAGCCATAACCTATTTGCTAAGCTAGAAAGAAAGATACTTACTCCACAAGCATGTATGTTAATTTTGGATTACATTGAGAGCATGTATGTTAATTTTGGATTACATTGAGTTTGCTTTTGGACTACATTTGAGTTATATGTTAATTTTTTTTATTTTGAATTGTCTTTGGAAGTTAACATCATTTTAAAGTGAAATTATTTAAATTTGAATTACAAAAAAATTGTAATTTTTTTAATTTAAAAAAAAACTTGTAATTAAGTGAGCTGATGAGTTAACCCGTTTAACCAACGTGCCGGGTTCAAATATTTTTGACTCGCTAATAAATGAGTCGGGTTGGATTAGCTCACTAAGTGGTCAACTCATGGTGAGCCGGACCGAGTTGAGCCGGATGACCCATTTTGATAGCACTATAATAAATAAATAAAACACATTTAAAAGTTAAAAATAAATATCAATTAAAATTAATCAACATAACATGTAAATATAAAATATCCATTACATTTAAGATGACAAACTAAAATATTAAACAATAAATCTAAACATGTATATTAAAAAGTAACGATAGATATAGTATCTTCACAGATTTTGATCTTTGAAAAAAAGAGAGTAAATCATTAATATTAATAAAAGAATTAGTTAATAATATTTTTAAAATATAAAGATGTAATCATATACATATTAATTAATAAAACTAAATATTAATAATACAACTTACTCCATTTCCATTTGAAGGAATATTTGAACCATGATAGAAGTCCTAATAAAATAGTCATTTAACGTTTTATCGCTCTTTCGATATCTTGTTTCACTTTATCACGTTGAATTTTCATAGCAAGTTCTTCAATTTCAATTAATTGATGTTCATATTGCAATTCACAGTTGAATGTTAGTTTCTTTTTGCTTTTGAATAGTGTTATTCAACTTTTGCACTTTTAACTCTAAATCATTTGTCATTTTGCTTGTATTCTCCACTTGCTTTTAAATAAATTATCTCTCTATATTTTATTTGTTATTTATTCATTTTCTATACCGTTTTGGTTTTGTTCCTAGTACATGTGCTTTTGAAATTTCTTCTCCATACATTTCACCCACATTTTTCAAATGATATTGCACGATATTAATATTCAAATATTCTTTGTTATCCATAATTCAAGTATTTATATTCAGCTCATATTTGATCTTACCATAATTTATTCTTCTTAGAATACGCAAAGTTCCATCAGATTATAAACGTGTAATCTTCCATACTCTTACTGTACTTGATAATTCATCACTTTTTAATAATAAAAAAAAGATAATAAGATGTTAGATTAAATAGAAAAAAAAAACTTGAATATGTGAAACATAAAAAGATCATATAAAACCTACAGAAATTTGTATATATAAAACATAAAAGTAGCATTGCCATCTCAAATGCCGTTTGGACAATTGATTTTGTGTCAATAACTGATTTAATCTCTTTTAATATCTTGCTTATTTTGACCAACTTTATTTTTCAAGTTCCTTTCCTATAAACCTAGAAATAATTTAATATTATAATATAAAAGTACATAAAATTCCAATTTGAGATATAGATATATAAAGAAAGGAACTCTACCTTAAACTTAGAATCATTTCCCTCGTTATTTATTAACCCATTCCAATCATGAGAGTGTACATCATTTAGTCTACCTTTGCTTTCGATGTATGTTATTAGATATAAATGATGATGTTTATTCTATATAGTTTATGCAACTATTTCATTGTATGCTGCGCAGGGTAATGATTAACATGTTAAATAAATCAAGAGGAATGAATTAGTTTTTTTTATCTCAAATCGTTTTTATAATAAAATATCTCTTAAATAAAATTTCTTTAAACAATTTAAGCAGATTTAAAGAGTAATGAAAAGAGAAAATTGCACAAGATAATTTGTATCCTGATTTGGATCAAACAAATCCTACGTCCAGTTGTTAATCTCAATCGAGAATTAACGTTTCACTAGCACCTACCACAAACCAACAAACTATTACAATTACAAAGAAAATAAACAAGTTGAAGGTTAGAACACCTCTCTTGTTACCGCAAGAGATGAAAGTCACTTTCCCTGTAACTCACAAGCGATGAACACCTCCTCCGAATATTTCACGAAGGATGACCACCTCCTTTGAATCTTCACAAACGATGATAGACTTTCAACTCGGCAACAACAATAGCACTCAATCACACTTCTTGTGAAAGTTCTCACTCTATGTCAACATGCCAAGTTCTCAAAGCCACCGCACAAGGGTTCAACAAATCCTAGAACACTTATCACCGCAACCTGCAGATAAGAATTTTGAAAATACGCTTTTTGTATGTTTCATATTGTCATCATATTTTATAAGGAAGAGTCTCAGTCTAATTTATAAAGATGTCACTCAATCAATGATACATCCAAAAATCTGATAATTAATGTATGATAATCAATCCTCCACTTATGGTAATTATTAATTATGCATTTAATGAATGCACAACGATAAAAAAAAATTGCTTTACAAATTTTAACGCAATCTATGACAAATAATACATACAATCAAAAATAAATCACATCCTATACATCAGTTTACTGAATTACAAAAATTTTAATATAAAAACAAATCATTGTAAAAATTTTCCTAAGCATTTGAGACTTAATTTTAAGACATTACCAAAATTCATGTTCTTAAGCTTTGTGCGGACACTTTTCCATCAAACATAGTGCCATCTAAAAGTCATAAAATTATAAAAAAATGCATCAAATGTATAAATAAGAATTAATTGAGTCCACTTACAAGAGTTATAGTAACATTCCTATGTTTTTACATTACCGTTAAATTATCTTCAGATATCTCTTTTCAAACTCTTTCCAAGCTTTAACTTGTAAAAAAACTTAGTGATGTAACTGATGAAAATTGTTGAATAAAATTAAAAATGTCTTCTTTGTGCAAAAAAAAAAATATTCAACCCGCTGATTAAGCTTTTGGATTTTCAGCCCATTCATTGTTAAGTAGTATTTTTCTAGAAAGAAATAAAGTTTGACTCAATAAGGCCTCATCTAAGTACAAAGTCAAGTTTTTTAGGTAGTGTTCAGCTTTAATTTCTGCACTCATTATCCAATTTTCTTAAAAAGACTCTTTTTTTCTTTTTTATCTCACGAGATTAAATGAATTTTTCTGAAGCAATGAAAGTGCTTTTTCATTTCACCAACCAGTCTCACAGCTTTTTCCAAGAAAATTATACGCTTTCCTAACGAAACAAATAAAGAAACGGCAACTTTGAATTATGAACACCAACATTTTAAGTGGTTTAGAAAAATTATATAAATAATTTTAAAAAATAAGTAGTAGTTGAAAGAGAGAAAAGTATTATAAGACTTTGAGAAGTTTTGGGTTGGAATAGAAGGACCTTGAGAAACTCATAAAGAAATAACTAAATATTTTAATACGGGTTGCTATTTACAACTTCAATCTTTGACTATGAATTGTCTACTTTTTCTAAAACAGCATTCTTTGGGAAAAATCATGAAAAATTAAATTTATCCTTTTTCGTTTTATTTGAATGTGGTTTGATAATAGATAAAATAAATAAACTTCTAAAATCACGTGCAGAACAAAGCCTAAACTTTAAATAGACTAGACTTTTA